CTCTGTAAACCGCTTAGAGAGGCCTGAAAGGCCTATGAAGCGGTATATAAGTCTACTGCTATTGCTATTGCTATACTGGATCAAATTATCTAGATTTGTTATAAATAATACATTTTATGTTTCATTTTTACTGCTCCAGTTGAAATAAACATATTTGATTTATCTTATAGAAAGGGTAAAGAAAATAGATCACATATATATGAAAGAAAAAATTTTGACCTGTAGAATCAATGCAGTTTTTATTTCTGTATTGTTCTATATCCAAACCTATGGCACACATACCACAGGTGGCACATGGAGCCATTTGTCAGGGCATGCGAGGCATTGCTCTGTCAGCTGGCCAGTGTGCATCCGCGCTCTGGCCAGCTGAGTTCAGCCTTTTTTAAAGCCATTTTTCACACTCCCCAGGCTCCAGGGACTTTAGAGGAGCCTGGGGAGGGCGAAAAGAGTCTCCCCCGCCCACCCTAGAGGCCCTCCGGAGGCTTCAGGAGCTTCCCTGAAGCCTCCGGAGCGCAAAAAAGTGGCCCTATGGGCAAACAAGAAGTTCGGGACCGGACATCAGGCTTGCTCGTAGGGTCGGTTTAAGCCCTCCGGAGGCTTCAGGGACCTTCAGGAGGCTTCCCTTCCCTGAAGCCTCCGGAGGGCTTAAACCAACCCTACAAGCACAGCAAAAGTGACTTTCAGTTTGCTCGTAGGGTCATTTTCTGCCCTTCAGATGCTTCAAGGAAGCCACCTGAAGGGCCCTGAAGCCTCTGGAGGCCTCTAGTGGGGCAGGGGATGCTGTTTTCGCCCTCCCCAGGCTCCTATAAAGCCTCTGGAGCCTGGTGAGTGTAAAAAAAGCATGGAAAAATTGGGTTGTACCTCTCGTGCGCATGCGCACTTGGGGGGTCACACATTGCATTATGGGTGCAGCATGCCCACACACGCCCCCCTGTGCTCCCCCCCCTTATGGCACATGAGCCAAAAAAGGTTTGCCATCGCTGTTCTATATCATTCATGCAGGTTCTGTAGGGTCATTTTAGGTTACATAGCAGACCAATATAATATAAAAGCCTCACACTGCTCTTCTATACAGGATATTCATAACCATTCTCAAACTTACTTGTTTATAATAATAGGGCATTATAAATAGAAAAAAAATTGAAAAAATCCTTTATGTTTCTCTATAGTTAAGGTAGTCTGTGAAAGATGCATTTTTACAATGAGTAATCAGAGACACCCAAACATGGTGCAAATCATTTACATTTTTAAAAAATAATCTAACATTTTAAATAGTTGGCTGATTTGCTAAGGATTTTTTAAAAATATTAAAAACCTGAAAAGTTTATAATCAAGGTATAATTACCTCAGCCTTTAATTCTTTACAGATTGTATGTAAAAAAAGAATATAATGCACTGTTTTCTTTTTAAGAAAGTCAGAGTACATGATGGTATGTCTTTGTACGTGCAT